GTTGTGAGCCACCACTTGGGTACTGGGAACTGAACCTGGGTCCTCTGCAAAAGCAGCGGATGCTCCTGGCTGAGGAGCTACTGTCCAGCTCCTCAGTGTGACTTTTACCTGTGGTCTCCAGCTGTCTGCTCAGGTTGAGAATGGGGCTCTAAGTTGTCTGGGGAGTTCTCAGTGAGAGGGTGTGGCTGTGGCCTTCCCTAGGGGTCAGGTCCTTTGTTAATTTCAATTAGTCAGATACCCTTAGAGGCTCCTACAGTTGAAGTTAGACAATACCTAGCACACAGAAAAGGCTGGTAGAGCCTGTTTTTATATTAACTCTGAAAATTTCTATTAACTTCTCACAGCAGTGGACCTTCACCTTGCTGGGCCTGGTGTCCCAGGAGCCTGCTGAGCAAGGACACTGACCCCCAATACAAAGGCTACGGGCAAACATGTTTGACCGAATTAAATGTTTTCAGCTGATCCACTGTTTTAAAGTCATTTTTTTTTAAAGGGTTTTTCTGACAAGATCTCACTGTGTGGTTGAGGTTGGCTTTAAACTCAGAATCCTCCTGCCTCAGGTTCTCAAAGGGCTGGGGTTACATACATAAACCACCATACTCAGCCTGTGGATTTTGGACCCAGCCTTCTTGGGTCTGCTGACTTGGTGGCAATCCATACATTTCCCAGTCTCCAGACTTTGTCACTGTCCTTATGAACTTGTCCTGAAAACATACATTTTCAAAGAATCTCCTATCACTGGGGATATAGAGTCAGGATGACTTAAATATAGGTGATCAGTCTACTGCCATGCAGTTAGGTTAAAGTTCAAATTTTTTGTTTGTTTTTTGAGACAAGATTTCTCTGGGTAACAGTCCGGCTGTCCTGGAATTTGCTTGGTAGACCAGGCTGGACTTGAACACATAGAGATCCGCCTGCCTCTGCCTCCCAAGTGCTGGGATTAAAGGTGTGCACCACCACTGCTGGCTAAAGTTCAAATTTTTTAAAACCAAAAAGCTATGATCTTGGCTGGGGATTTAGCTCAGTGGTAGAGTGCTTGCCTAGCAAGCACAAGGCCCTGGGTTCGGTCCTCAGCTCTGGGGGAAAAACAAAAACAAAAAACTATGATCTTGAATCCAAATGATCACACCAGACACTTTTAAAGCCCTACATAAAAAGCACCGAGTCCACGCAATCTTCTCAGAAGCTGAGAACAACTCTAATGATCATTGTTTTATAGATGGGCAAATCGAAAGCATTCACGTATTTTTATCTAAAGCAAACTGACAGCCTTAGGGCCAGATCTGGAAGGCTTGCTTTATTAGATTTTATTACAAATGTTAAAAATCAGGAGCGATCACACTAAAGTTTTTCTGCTGTACGTGAAAAGCCGGCATGGAGCCATGTTGGACCACACTCTAGACGGTGCAAATCATGTGGACGGTGCGGAGTACCACTGCCCTTCCATCAGAAAACCTTGTGGCTTACTTCGGCCTCCGTGGAGATACTTTATTCTTGATTCGTATGTTTTCGTAGGGAGGGAGAATTTGAGAGTGAGTATGAATTCGAGACAGTAGAAAAAGAAATATTGAGAAAGGTGAGCTGGAACCTGGAATATACCTAAAACTGCATCTGTAGCTCCAGCCAGTTGCCTTGAGACGGTCAAAGGTGAAACATAAGGAAGAGGTGAGAATCCAAGCAGGGAATGGCATGGTTGTCTCCTCCCTTCTCTGCTTCACAACCCCTGTAAACACTTGTGAATTTGCAAACCACGCTTAGTGATTAAAAGACGCTGGGATGAGGGACAGCAAGGATGGAAGGGGAAATAGCTCAGCGGGCCGGCTGGTCCAGTGCAGGGAGCAGGAATATTCCGAAGCAGAAAGGATGAGAATGTTCTTTTTACACCCACAAAGCCTGCATCATGTATGATTTGCAGTGAAGCCCAAACCCAGGACCTTGAGACTACATGTTAGACTCATACTCACCCCAACTCAAGTCTGCCACCTGTGGCAAAATGGAATGGACCCTCACATTACAGTTAAATGCCTTTATTCCCAGGATCCTCTGGACAACAGCAGCTCTCTGGCCCCTAGCTCCTAGTTCCTTACTGGAATGAGCTCTTCCTGACACCTTTGGTTTCTGTCTTTGAAATGAAGGTACCATATGATCAACTCTGCTAAATCTAGGCTTTTATCCACTTTGCGCACTGAAAGACAGAATTGATTACAAGCGCCAAGCACTGGTGCTGGCCTCCCCGAGCTGGACCCAGCACACTCAGAGAGAGTAGATGCCCTAACTGTAAGGCAGAAGACGGCTTGGAAGGAGACATAACCACCTCTGCAGGAAAGTCTCTGTATCTTGTAAGTTGCCATATATATATATATATATATA